GCAGCTGATCTGGCCTGTGACTGGGACAAATCAAACCATTCTAACTAGGGAAATGTCAACAAAATGTGTCACAAGACTATTTCAGAAGAGGCCTAAAAGTCAAAGCATGCTAAAATTCTCCAGAAGAGAAAATGCTGACCTACCTGCAGGTGAGGTTTATTGGGTTTGCGTGGAAAGGTTTTGGTAGCAGGAGGTGCTACAGGGGTGGCTCCTGTGAGCAGCAGCTAGAAGCTTCCTTGATGTCTGACAGAGCCAATGCCAGCTGGCTCCAAAGCAGACCTGCCACTGGCCAAGGCCAAGCCCATCAGTGATGGTGGTAGCACCTCTGGGATACTGTATTCAAGAAGGGGGGGAAAAACCTGCTGCAAAATGGCAGCTGCAGCCAGCGAGAGGAGTGAGAGTATGTGAGAGAAACACCTCTGCAGGCACCGAGGTCAGTGAAGGAGGGGCAGGAGAGCACCAGGCACCAGAGCAGATTCCCCTGCAGCCCATTTGTGAAGACCATGGTGAGGTAGGCTGTGCCCTTGCAGCCCATGGAGGTTAATGGTGGAGCAGCTCATGAAGAACTGCAGCCTGTGAGAAGGACTCGCATTGGAGAGGTTTGTGGAGGACTGTCTCCAGTGGGAAGGACCCCATGCTGGAGAAAGGGAAGAGTGTGAGCAATCTTCCCTATCAGGAAGAAGGAGCGGCAGACGACGTGTGATGAACCGACCACAACCCCCATTCCCTGTTCCCCTCTGCCACTGGAGAGGAGGAGGTAGAGAAATAGGGAGTAAAGTTGAGCCCAGGAAGAAAAAAAGGAGTGGAGGGAAAGTGTTTTAAGATTTGGTTTTCTTTCTCATCATGCTGATTTGATTGGTAATAAATTAAATCAATTCTCCTGTTTTGCTTGTGACAGTAATTGGCGAGTGACTCCTCCCTGTCCTTATCTCAGCCACGAGCCTTTTGTTGTATTTTCTCTTCCCTGTCCAGCTGAGAAGGGGAGCCATAGAACAGCTTTGGTGGACACCTAGTCTCCAGCCAGGGTCAACCCACCCCAGTGAGGCCACATAGCTGCCCTCCCGTGGAAAGAAGCAGATTTGGCAGTTAAGAAAACAAGGCACTTACGTGTATTCACAGTTCTGGCAACATCATGGTTAATTTAATGTCCTCAAACTGTCCCTGCTATGCTCAGACTATTATTTCTTCCCCTTCAGCTCAGAAGACTCGTAGCTCTCTAGACTGCCCCCTCCTGCAGGTAAGGAGGGTTGGGAAGCAATGCACTGGAGCCACCAATGGCCAACTGTGTTAGTTCATAGATTGTATGATGAAAAAAGACTTGCCATGCTGACCTGAAAATACAGGCTTTACATCCTCATCACCAAAGCGAGCACCCAATTACCTCGACTCACCTAAGCTTACATATGCTACATCTTGGCAACATTCTCATCTCCCAAAAAGTATGACACCCAGTATTCGAGCCTCAGGATCAGGACAGAACAAATCCTTCTGCTATCTTGTTAGCAACTCTTTTCTAAAACAAAAGAAACAAAGAACCCTGTATAACAAACCTATTCTTCTAATTTCTCTCACAATGTATCTCAAGTCTTAAATAATTAGAAGGAAAGTTAGAGGACTTTGCACACTCACCACAGCAAATCCTGCCCAGCTAATTTACCAAACAAATTGAGAATCCAGATCCAACCAACTACGCATTAGTGACACTGCTAGCAAGGAGGACTTAACTAACGTATTGAACACAAGACTTCATTAAAATCTGGACTGGTACCAACTTTGAATTTATTACAGTGAGGAGGCCTCACAGAGCTACTCAAGCGATTTGCTTCCATCATTAAGAATGACCACAGAGTGAATGGGGACACATTTATAATATTTCAACTTAAGCATCACATCCTAGATGATTTGTGAGGCCACCAATGACTCCACCAAACTTGGTCAGTCAAAATCCAAATCACAGCAGCCTTGGGAGGAAAGCTGAAAATGAATGCAAAGGATCTGATATGTGACACTAGACACATACCATGCAAGAGCAGCTTTTCCATTCTTCAAACTTGACATCAGTTGTGCAAAAATCAGTATGAAAATAAAGCTCTTGGACAAAAAAAGGTTTTCCTCACAGGCATTTAGTACAAATGTTGACAAATCTACTACAGTTCCACTTACCACAAGGAGAAGGAAGGAAAACTGGTGCCATACAGCTAAGAGAGATTCCTTCTTCTATATGACCTGCAATTTAGGTACATTTTGTATTAAATAAAAAGCAGAAATTTCACCATCACTGCAACTCAGAAAACATTCATGAAGTTTTCTTGCCACATATTATTTAAACTGGATTCATACCCTTTTATTTTTTAATTGCGCTAATCTAACTTTGAAAGCATTTAACAGAATTAAGCATGTACTTTATTAAATTAGAAAAAAAAAAATCAAGTGTCTTCCCCTTGTCAGTAACTTCTACCCCCCCACCCCAGAATTCATCCTAAAATCCTAACTTGTTTCTCCTTTAACAGGGAACTATCTTTAAGTGCATAAAGATGACACTCTACTACACCTTCTTTCCAACTACTTCATAGCAACGTTAACATTTAATATATATTCCTTTAAAGATATTTAAGTGAATTTATTGTATAAAATTATGATTGGCATGGTACAGAAAAGTTCTTTTTAATGCACATTTCCCATTAACTTGTACACAAATATTACAAGTATCAAGCAAAATGCAAAAGTCTTAAGAACTAATTCCATACTACAAAAGTGTTCACATAGTGAAGTTACTCTGGTTACAAAATGTCATGGAAATAAAAGCACTTCAAAATACATATTTGGGAAATGTTCTCGAATAATCAACACAACCTGAAGTTAGTTAAAAAATGCAAAGAAAGAGATACCCTCTTCAAAACACTACTGTTTATTTGGCAAGATGAAGCAAGGTTCAGATCAGTTCATTTACTGAAGGATTGTTCTTTCCAAGAAACAAAAAAAAAAAAATAAAAAACCTTTAGTTAAGAAAGGGCTTAATTATACAATGATGACAAATAACGCCATCAAAAAGTTATCCGGCTCTCTTGTTTTCACACAGGAGCTGTCAGAGGCAGAGGTGTGTAAATGAACACTTCTAGGTATATACAGACTGCCTTTTCAAAAACAAATCAACCAAAACAAAACAAAACAAAAATCACCAAAAAAACAAACCCAAAACAAAAATGAGACAATCTGAACTCTGTTGTTTCATTTAACCAGTTCAGTTCCTTAGGTCACCAGACCCAAGAACAGCAGTCTGCAAAGGATACATATTTAAAGAACAAAACCGAACTTCTACTACCACGGAGTGTGTAGATGTGACATTATGTGAGTCCCGTACATCCTCACAGTAAGGCTGTTGGAGGCTGTCAAACCTCTGCTTCCCAATGACCTCTAAGACCTGCAATTCCCAATGCAATAAAAATGTTTGAACCCAACAAACAACCTTACAAAAAGGAGGACAGTCATACTGTTAGAAAGTAACACCAGATCTTGAAGACTGAAAGGATCCTTAAAAACTTACACAAAATAACTACAAAATAAACCATACATTACAGTATTTTTGTATCAGATGAATGGTGTGTGTCTGAGCTACTGAATGTTGACATGTGTATCTACATGAAACTCACACATACAGGACATCATGTTCAGGCATTATTGTTGTTTTCCTTTTACACACACACACACACACACACACACACACACACACACACACACACACACACAAGTTACTATTGGGTTATCCAGTCTACTTAAATGCATTGAAAAACAGTCCACAGCACATGTAAAAGGAGCATTATCCGATACAGTGTTGTCTTGCAAAAATGGAGTCAGAATTCCTGAGTCTCAGAGACATTACTGTCCTCCTCCATTACTGGATTATTTATTTGTCTAAGGAGAAACTCTAGTTTTCATTTCTTCACTCTGATGAAATTTATAATAGATTGCGTCTTCTAAAAAATGTAAAACTTTTAGAAAAAAACATGCCAACCAAAGTGAATTTTTAAAGCTTTTTAAAGGGAGGGGGGGATTCACTTACAAAATAAAGGCCACCTGTAAAATTAGTACTGCTAGTGTCCCATCATTTTGTTTAAAGGAGATATTTAGCTCCCTGTTCTGGAAGCTTTATTACATGCAGTCACGTGAGTTTAAAAGCTCCATCCTTTTTAACAATTAAAAACATTATAAATAGGACTAATGTGGAACAGCCCTTTGTTACAGTCACCAAGGTGGCAAAACCAATGCAACAGCTGAGTCGTGAAGTCTCCTTCAAATAGCCACTGCAATCTATTATAACTTGTGTATTTTCCCTTTTACTTTGCATATTACACAGTGTAACTTAAAATGTTATTTAAGAGCACTTCCGTCCCACAATGTAGGATTTAAGCTTGTGTGAATACATATGCATGGCTCTGCAACATTTTTAATGACTTATAAAAATACATTCAACCGAAATTTTATATAGGGTTCTCTTTTTTTTAAATCAAAAATGAAAGAAAAGCCAAATGGTCCCATCATTAGCTAAATAATACACTCCAATTTCTGGAAGCAATTCCAAAGCAAAAGCACGTTCAAGAATAACATACATAGAACTGCATACTTTCTCATTCGTCTTTATCAGTAATAAAATTCTACTGCATATAATTATTCAGCCTTATAAATAATGCTAAGCAGAAAAATATTTACCTCTGTTCTACTTTTCTCAGTTTATAGAAGCATTTTTCTCAGTTTATAGGAGCAAAGGAAAAAAATCTAAAGTGCAGACTACAGGCCATGACAGGCATAATAAAAGACTAAAGGTGCAGCCAAATTTGCATTTACATCTTAAGTTACTTCATCATCTTTCTTTTCTTGCTAGAAGTCACCTTGTGTGCAACTGAGGAGCTGGTTGGTTGGTTTGTGCCACAGTATAACCTGTAACCACTTGTAATTTTTTTTTAAACTAGTTGAATTGTCCATAGATATTTCTAGGCAATAGCTTAGGTTCACAAAACCTTACTATATTAATACTTGAAATCACACAATATTGACACCTCCTCCAGAGAATGCTACTGTCCTTTTGTTGCAGTATGTGGTTGAGCCGCTGATGCTCGGTTGACTGTCTTTAACAAGCGACGTCTTCATTTCCATTTCACAGGCTACAATAGCTGCATTCAGTTCCACTTGAGCTCGGTGAACGACGTAAAACATGAGTCCTATGCTTATAACAATCTGCAAATAAAACAAAAGAGCACAGTAGGCTATATAAACTGTAAGCATGGATACAAAGCAACTGTTTTAAATAAAACAAAGTCAGTGATGCAAAGATTCATAGAGGCATCCGTTAACTCAACGCTTCACGCACAAGACATTAGAAGAGAGATGAACTTAACCAACGAGTGGCTCTAAACCTGTATTTGCTAACAATGTAACTAGCATGTCAGAACATAGACGCAACATAGAGCTTAAATATTGATACGAATTTAAAAGATAATTTCTTTCCATTGACTTCCACATACTTGTTAGAAAGCAATCCCTTCACTTTCTCTCTTGGCAAAAATGTTTCCACAAAGAAATAGCACGGTGTAAGTCAGAAGAGCTGTTTTCCATGTACCGAGTGAATAATAGGTTGCAATTGTACTGGGCATCTGCAACTTGCAAAACCGCTGAGACAGGGAATGATGCACAGTAAAGGAAATAAAACTTCTTGTCCTTGTCCCTCTGGTGTGAAAGATAGAGAGCAACAGTGTCACTGCTCCTCAGATACCAGGACCAAACAGGACAGAATCAGCGTGTCTGAGTGACATACAGCAGTCTGCATGGGGAGAACTTGGTTTCTGGAGGATGGCTTGGGGAGGGGACAGTATTTCCTCCTTAAAACAAAGAAACAAAAAAACCCACACTGGGTTTTAAGGAGGAAAACTAGGGGTTTAGTTCAGGTTTTTGCTCTGAACTTTATCGTTTAGAATTTTTAAACTTTCACTACAAAAATTACCAGGAATAAACCTGGAAATTTTTGCTTAGAAATGACTCATTCAATGACATTGGCATGCACTGCACTCCTCAATATAGTTAAGCTCTCAGCTGAGATCCTCCTTAAAAATTCCAAAATCTTCAAACAAAAAATCAAGTTTTCTCATAGTGAGAATCCCTTTAAAAGAAGTAAATTCCTCTGCCTTTTTAAAGAAGGTTTTATGAAACTAGCTAGAATCTGCAACTTCCTTAAAAACAAACAAACAAACAAACAAAACAAACCACCACAAAACTGCAATAAAACCCCCAAAACCCAAAAAGGTTATACTGCTTACTTTACCTAAAGTTTTGAGTCTAAAATCTGACTGCCATTATTAATTGGTAGGGCTAAGTTTTCTTTAAGGTCTATCACTTAAAACATCTGTCAGCATGGCATAAAAGATGCTAGAATGAGAGATGATTGACAAGCATGGTCACAGAATAACTGTGGCAGGAAGGCATCCTGGTGTTCTCCAGCTCAACCTGCTGCTCAGAGCAGGGCTGGCTGCAAGATCAGACCAGGTTGCTCAAGACTTTTGTCCAGTTGGGTCTTGAAAACTTCTAAGGACAGAGATTCCACCACCTTTGAGCAACCTGCTCCACTGCTTGCCTATCCTTGTGGTAAAAAAGGTGTTCCTCACTAATTCAAGTTATACATTTCAAAAGCTGGCCAATGTAAGAGTCAGAAAGAGACCACGGACAAAAAGTTCTGAATATACTGGAAAAATCCTATTCTTAAAGCTTACCCAAATATGTGAATTTGACTGGTTTTAGAAATATTACTATCAGCAGCCTAGTTCCCTAGATGAATAATTTAGAAAATATATACACACCACCATGAAATGTGAAGGATTTTTAGAGCTATTTACTAAACTAAAGTCCCATGAAAGCCCCAGGCAGATGCCTGACAAAAAGTGGGAGAACACAAGTAACTCCTCCACTAACAGGCTCCTCTTGACTTATTCAGTCAGGTCCCAGGGACTGCTCTCAAGGTAAGCACTGCTACTCAAACATTCAGCCTCTCCAGCTGGCACTTACCTGAGTGACAGTTTGATCACAACCTATATAATCTACAAAGGAGAGTCAATGTCATTTAAAAAAGAAAAAAAGGAAAAGACCACTAAAAACTACTACCCTGGAAATAACATTTCACAACTAAAATGAAAGCTTATCAAGTAACCATTTATTTTTCATTTGATCTATTGAGCCTATTTACTTAACATTTACAAAGGCACCATGTTCCATTTAAGAACACCTAAGTTTCAGGGAGGGGGGATCTTTGCAATGATCCTAGACTTAGCTTTATTTCTTAGTATTATTAAACAACGGTTTTATGATGGTAAAAACTAAGGAAGATAAATGGCTGCAGTATCAACTGAAAAGTCTGCAAAACACATCTGTTCAAACACAGCCTGAAGTACCAATGCTATCAAAGGAGGTTTTAATAGACATACACATCTATAAATACATATATATATATATGGTTCTGAAATATCCATGACTTCTATGCTCATAATAGTCTCAGACTTAAATCTTACCCCTAAGATTTTTTTACAAATTATTTCATCAGCTGAGTTCATGTAAATGTACTACATACTTCTCATTAATCTACTCACTTGCAAAATTATGATATTCTGATTTAGGCATTAGCAACATGGTATTTCTACAGCACTTGTCATCCTGAATACCTATGCAAAATCAGGACTGTTGAATGGTATTCATGAAGACCGCACAGGTTCTGAGTTTAAGCACCCTACAGGTACCCCTTTCACAGCTGACGGCACAAGGGCTTTTGTGTAGGGGTGGCTTGACAAGTCTAAAATTCAGAGACTGATGCTGCTGTTACCAAAGGCTCTGACAGTAGTAATTTTAACTTACCTGTAAACTGAATATAAAATAGCCACTAACACTTTGTTCTGCAATCACATCCTCCATGGTGCGCAAGGTAGTGCCCAAGTAGGAGTTCAGGAGCTGAGTAGGCAGCAGCCCAACTGAAGAAGCCATCAGGTAGTTGGGCAGTGACAAATCTGTAATCTGGGAAAAAGACAGTGTAAGAAATCGAGCACAGTTCCACACAATCCATGTGCACAAACAACCAGGCTGCCACTCCCACAAACTGCTATGCAAAATATCGAAAGAATTTCTTACATTCCTTCACTGAAGCTTTCCACTGTGCATGAATCTAAGATAACACAATAAAACAGTATGTGGCTAGTTTTCAGCTAGCCTTTTTAAAGTTACCAGGTCTTATTCCATTTCATTTTACATTGCGTAACATTCCGGTGCAGCAGTCATGAACTAAGAATGCAATTATAGTGTTCATTGAAGATGTTTATTTCTTCACGGTGAACAGAGCCCTACAATCTATGAAAATTTGCTCGCGGGAAGAAATTACTTTATCAAATGTGAAGGTCGAAAGCAAAAAAACTACTTGCTTTGCATTTTAAATGTATGGCAACTAATAGAAGAGGCTGTTGTTTAAAATGTCACTGTATTAAATATAATCTAGGTAAACAGAATGGCAGATACAATTTGCCTCTGCAGTGGAAGTTATATAGCTCATTAAGATACATGTATCTATCAGCGATATCTATCTACATCTATACTGATATACATGGGTATCATTAAGATTCTCTAACAAAGAAATTATACATCCCACTAACTAGCAAACAAAATAGGACACATGGCTATAGCTTTTGTTTGCCATTCTGGGAAAAAACCCAGGAATAATAATTCAAGATAATTTCCTGTCTTTGCTGTGAAATTTCTGCTCAGAGTCAATATGCGGACAGTTTACACAAGAGCAAAGTACACAACAGCTAAATTAGTATCTGCAGTCACTGGGAAACGTTAAATGTGAGACCCCAGAGGCCAAAAGCTATTTATGCAAGAAAAATGAAAACAGGAGGAAACTATGGGTTAAAAATGAGTATGAAAAGGGCAGTTTTGAAACAAACAGTATAAGGAATTTTCCAGACAATTCAGTTTATCACATAGTAATGAAAACAAGTTCTAATTAAGAACAGCCCCTTAACACTGGAAGCCTACACAGAAATTATTGACCTTGACAGTTTTGTACAATGTCAAAGACATGAGAATAACTGCAAAGTTACTAATTTCATCATGCTATTCTTAAAATAAACTTTGGTTACTATGAAAGTCACAGTCCTGGATTCTCAGAGCTCGAAGCACCATCAGTGGAAAGTTTCTGAGAGGAAGGGCAGGCAATGGAGGAAGAGAACACAGTGAAGCATAAAGATCAAGAACAAGTCAGTGGAACAAGATCCAGTCAGCCAATTCCAAACTTCACACTGCAAATTATATTTCCCGGAGACTGAAATATATACCAGCAACACAAATACATTTCCCTCTCTACACAAGACTAATTTAGATTTATAATGAAAAAGCACTACATAATTATGTCAGAACTTCACATTTGACCGATGCTTTGAAAAGGGTTTTTTTTAACATTACAGTTATTTGGGCCATGTAATAAGAATGCACAACTGAAACTTCCCATATTGCCAAGGGAATAAAGGAGCTGCTAATAAAAGTCTCTGAAATACTGAGGCAAGATTTGCTAAGTAGGACACTGTCATTAAATCTAATAGAGCTGGGAAACTTCCCAAAGATTGTTTTAACACTCTCAGGCACTTCTTTCATTTCTGTGTACGTATTAAGGACACTTCAGTTGCAAAGCAACACGTCTGCACGTCCGAATCTGTCCTGAAGCAACTGGACCCCCTGAGCCACGAGAAAGGCTGTTTCCAAAGGAAGGGGAGGCTGCCAAAGGACATGCTTCCCACCAAAACAAAACTTAAGGAGACGGTGGGATAAGTTTGCAGGTGCCCCTTTAACTCCTGGTTTGTGGGGTTTAGACCTACAGTGGTATCCCTTCCCTCAAAGACACAGGAACTGGATGGCATCCCTAGGTAAGAAACCTGAAAAAATGTCAATAAAACTTACAGCTTTCCATGTCTTTCCTGAAATTTTGCCTGTTCTAGAAATCTGCCAGACTGGGGTCTGTGTGGCCAAGCTGCCAAACAGAAGCTACCAGGACTCTGTTTCTATGGAAAGCTCAAGCCAGCAAAAATTAACAGTGTATCAGAAGTATCATTTCTTGAATTCTGATTTTACTGTGTGCATTTCTGGAATCAAAGATGCACACTTGGACAGATTACTTCTTCCACACAATACTGCTCTCAGAGAAGAAAGAAGAAATATGAATTCTGATCTAAGCTACACCTGGCACTGCAAATAGTCAGTCTGCACAAATCTAGCTCCAGGGATGCAGCAGCATGAAGGAGGGAGGTGCTAACCTGCATACCAGGCCTTCTTACAGACCTGCTTTCAAAATACAGTTGTCAAGAGAAGAGGCCTGTGTGTGGGCAAACACTTCAGGAGGTGCTATCAGCCCACTCCAGTGGCCCAGGCCATCCTGGCACCACAGGAGAGATAATTAAGCAAAACCCACGCAAAGAGAAACACAAACATGCTTTCAGTTAAGAAGCTTCCAGGTCTTCCAGAAAGGCAAATAAATGCCTTACCGCACAGCTCCTACTATCAGTGATTTCCCAAAGAAAGCAGAATCACCTGAAGAAGCAAGATGTTCATGTCTGGCTGGTGAAAAACTGAGGAACTTGTGTTAATTTTCTTCTTGTGCTGTTTCAAATAACATGATCCCATCACTACCAAATGCTAGGAAGCTCTTCCTTCCTTCTCTACAGTGCCCCGCAATTTGGCCTCCCCAAATCCCTCAGCAGATGGTACACACCACTGAACAAGTGCTTGTAGAAACCCATTAATCCCAGCCCTGCAGATGGTCCCTCTCACATCAAAGTTCTGCCCTGCCCTGGTCCTCAGGTGTCACTTCCTCCCTTCCCTCTCATTTCTGTATTCTCAGTATCTCCAGTTCACTTATACATACGCACATAGAAAAGACGCATAAACCAAGCTGTTGGAAAATTAAGGATGTGTAGGTTTTCTTAAGTTCACTGTTCTTTCCTCCACTACTAAGAGTAATTCTTTTCATATTCATTACTGAAGTTGCTAGTACAGGGAATGAATGGATAATTAGGGCACCACAAACCCCCTTGCACTTTAAACTTAAGTAGAGCATTTTCAAATAAGTCAGACTTCAAAGAAATGACAGCTCAAGTCTGCGTATGTAGAATTTTGTATTATATATGTAGCTTAGACTTGACTCACAGTGAGAAACTGTCTTGAATTCCCAGATTTGCACGCAACATTTTTATTTTTCAGTAATCTAGTAGTTCATATTAACTCTTCTCAGTTAAAAACTGAACAGAGTGCTTTATTTGATTATGCTGCAAAGTAATATATCTAGAGCAGTAAATGCAACACAAATGAATCTTAGGAGGCAACATCCAAGTTACTTGGCATACTCAAGAGTCTGGTTTCATCTCATTTCCTATTTGTTATTTCAACACTGAAACCTTCCGTTTGGAAAGAAAATTATTTAGCTTGCAGTACTTGGAGAATACAGAACACTGATTTACAGCATCATTTTAATATTGCACTGGCCCAAATATTCTGCTGAATCGTCTTTCCAACAGAATGGTTATGCCAGAAAGGCAATCATTTTAACTCAGTAATTCTCTCGTCAGTTTTTCAGATCCAACACTACTCTGTAGCTCTCCTAATTACTTCAAGTGTCCCCCAGAAGCTGTGAACAACGACAGCAGAACAGCTCTCCCCACTTTAGGAGGGTCACGCTGTAGCAGAAGCTTCATCTGCTACACTGGGACCTCAAGCTCTGGTGGGACTCTGCTTCCAGCCACACAGGTCTAAGCTTCCTCAGTCCTGCAGTAATATAGGAAAATAAATAAAACAGCTGAGGTTCTTCTCATTCATAACAATGAAATGGTTAAAGGATCTGCTTAAAAAGAAATTATAAGTTGCTACAGTTTTTACAGGCAGAGATTGCAGCTATTGAGAAAAATGCCCCAGCACACAGTTCTATACACAGCAATTTTAAGTATTTGATATGGGTGTTAACCCCTAAAAATTGTGTGGATTAATTTTTTCTTAAATAACTCAGTGACCTACTCATGTCAACCAGATGATTCTGTCAATATTAAGCAAGAGCTTCAGAAGGGTACAGGATCAGGACTGCAGATAGAGGGAAGAAAGTGTGCTCTAAGAAAGCTGCAGACCAAGCCACTTGTTTAGAGAGTCTCTTACATAAAAGAACATTTGAGTTACTGTTAAATGTTCAAAATATTTCACAATCTGGTTTGCTTTTGTTTGATTTCACTGAGTTAGCAGACACAACTGAGGCTTAGCACACGGCTAAAAAACAGATTCTTCAGACAAAGCACTCAGGAAGAGATACGGGTCTGGAATTGTCATCATCAGCATGATGCTATCCAAAAAGGGTACCCTCCACATTCTTCTTTATTTTCTCCTTTAAGATGATCAAAGAGAACAATAAGTTTATAAATTTAAAATAATTCTTTTTAAAGAATGTACCAGTTTTCATCTAAAAGTAGAAAGAAAAGCAAGACTAACACTTTGCCAAATCTCAAGTTTAAACTAACTTTCAGTACCACTCTGGTGCACAGTACTTTTCCAGCTCTAAGCCTGCAACCTTACTGCTCTGCCCAAAATATGTGACCTCTCTTGTGTGCATGGACTTAACATCCTGTATGGATTTGTCAGACGCATGCTACAAACATCAACCAGACTGAGCAAGAATTTTAATCTTTCTTTCCAATATGACTATTTACATTAAGCAGTTTAAGGAGATCTGGCAAGACTCCTTAAAAATACAACTTTTCCTCCCATGCCGATCACTTCAAAAACACAAGCACTTTGAGACTGTCGTGTTCTCCACAAATTTTGCCACACAGCACCTTGGTGCTTCTGCCTAAAGATAGTTTCGAAAGCCCAAGAGCAACTCGAAAGCAATACCACCAAACAAGGCTTCTCGATAGCCTGCCTGCCGTCCCTCCACAAGCACGAAAGAACCACTAGCAAAAGCAGGCAGAGGGGTTGCCTCTACTTTTGTCAAGAGAAAGAAACCAAGGTTTCTTCCTGAGACAGG